ATCAAACGCAAAGCGTCGACTGGTTCTATGGCGTGTGTCGAGTAGACATGTAAGCACTAAGGTGTGTAAGCATGGGGTGTGAGTAGGTCAAGAGGGAGAAAAAAGATCGCGCCGGTCCCGTGTACCCGGTTTGTTAAGGTAATTGCTCCGGCATTTGCCTTGCGTCTCCCGATCGTTAGGAACATTTAAGTGCCGTTATTTGATAACCTCGGTTACCAATTATCTTCCGGGACAAGCGGACTGATACAAACCTGGCTCTGCAGCTATATCGAAAAATCTTCCACAACATTCGGGACTCCGCCTCTACGTCCTACCCCGTGAGAGACACTTGGCAGGACATTAACTGATGGTCTGAGCAAGTTCGCCAGCCAGCCCTCTTCCAGAATAATCAAGTCATACAAAACTAGTAACAAAGTCCGTGCATTGACCGACCCGTCATGTCGATAATACGACCGTTCAGAATCCGGGATCGAAGGCCTCTCCCTCCGTAGCCTCCGGAAGGTTGTACACTTCGGCATCATAGCTCGGGTAGAGGCCCAGTTGGGATGCAAAGTCGCTCTGGAATCCCCTCGAGTCCACGCTCTCCAGCTGGATCCTATCCGCTGAGAAAGGAGCTGAGGTTTGGAAGAAAGTTTCTATCTGATTGAACATTTTCTTTCATAACGTTCTTTCTCTTCGTTTCTCCTTTGCTTTGATTGGGCTCATAATCCCCATCTCCCTTCTCTTTACCCTATCGTTTTCTATTTCGTTGTTGTCTCATATCTACTTCTTGTGCTCAACGTCATCGCATATTCACCTTGTCTTCTGCTGTTTACTACTTCTCTTTTCTTATGATATGGTCCAATATTTCTCAATCTCTTATACTTCTATTACCCTCCTTCTCTTCTCCTTCATGCCTTTGTTTCAAACTTTCTTCTTATTCCATAAATTCGTTGTCTTCATATGCGCTTTCTATACTTTTTTCATTTTTCCACTTCTTTTATTTCTCCATTTTCTATTTCTCTCGTCCAATTTTCATCACTTTGCTCTGCATCATTTTCATATCTCTCACTCTCTGTTTTTTCTCGTATTCTTGTTCTTCCCCATTCTTCCACATATTTCTCTTATATTTTCACCCTGCATTGTTTTTCATTTATAATGTCTTCTGTGGTCGTTATTTTTTTGTCCATGTTTCTATACCCTCTACTTCAATTTTCTGTCTTAGTTTCACTTTTCCTGCGATCTCAACTTCTAATTTTTCTGCTTCCATCATGGTTTCAGATTCTCCTATATTTTCCCCTGATGGTCCATCATCTGTACCAGTATACTTCTGTTTTGTCTTCATTTTCTTCCCTGTCTTCTTTTCCATTCATTCTTGTTCTGTTTCTTCTACGTTTACTTGGACACTTCACAGCCTCGCTTTTCGTCTTTTCTTCTTCTTGTTTCTCTCCTTTCATCTTCTCCGATATTTTTCCCTTTTCCGTTTTGTAAGCCATCTCTTTGAACGGAATCAATGCACTTCGATTAGATTCATCCTGCTTCATGATTATCCTGATGGCATTCTCTTCTATAAACGTTGACCACTGGTTCGTTTTAAATGCTTCACTGAAGACTTTTGTTGTGATTTCTGTTGATTCAGTAAAACGTTACTATCATTCACTGCGTTGTTTTCTATGGAGATTCGACTAAGATGAGCGTCCAAGAGATTCTTTTAATTACTTGTAATGTTCTTGTAATGAGAGAAAAGGCTGAAGATGGAAGAGCATGAGGACTGTTCGACACATAGCCTCGCGAGCCTTCACACATTCGCCTCCTCTTCTTCGTTTCCCTTCTTGACCTCGCTCCAGTTCCTAATACTTCCTCTTCTTTCACTTTCCCCTCCCACGATTTCCCCTAGGTGTCCTGTAACACTTATCGTTTCTGTAGTAATTTGCTTTCCTTTGTGCCTGCTTCTCACGTGTCTCTATCCACACTTTTCTTCTTGCGCGAGTTAAGGTAAACACCAGCTTCTTAAGAGAAATCATCTTGACCATTTAAAGAATCAATAGTCCATTTCTGATTTGGTGTCTGTATAGTTTCCAATTATCTAAGAGCGCGTGCATGGCCTTTAATATTACACTTAAAGAACTTCTCTGATGAAACATTTCTTTCAAATAAACGTTCTTCTCTTCGTTCTCCTTTCCTTGTGTGGCTCACTTCCCCCTCCTCTTCGTCTTTACCCTATTTCTTTTCTATTTTTGTATTGTCTCAATCTACTTCTTGGTCTTCAACGTCATCACATTCTCACCTTGTCTCCTGCTGTTACTACTTCTCTTTTTTCTGAAGATATGGCCATTTTCTCATCTCTTTTACTTTCTATTACTCTATCTCTTCTCCTTCAATTCCCTTTGTTCAAACTTTCCTCTTTCTTCATATTCCATAAATTTTGTTTATATCCTTCTAATCGTTTTTCATTTTCATTCATTTATTTCTCCATTTTCTATTTCTCTCGTCCCCAATTTTCATCAGTTTTCTCTGCATCATTTCCAATTTCCTCACTCTCTGTTTTTTCTCGTATTCTTTGTTCTTCTTCCTCTCTTCCACATATTTCTCTTATATTTTCATCCTGCATTGCTTTTTCATAAAATTCTCTCTGGTTTCGTTTATTTTTGGCCATGTTCGATACCTTCTACTTCAATTCTTGTGTTAGTTTCACTTCACTTGACCTTCAACTTCTAATTTTTCTGCTTCATCATGGTTTCAGATTCTCCTATATTTTCCCCTATGTGTTCCATATCTGTTACCATATTACGTCTGTTATTGTCTTCATTTCTTCCCTTCTCTTCTTTGCCATTCAGTACTTTCTGTTTCTTCTACGTTTACTTGGACACTTTCACAGCCTCGCTTTTCGTCCTTTTTCTTCTTCTTGTTCTTCTTCTCTTTT